ATTTTTTTGGGAGCTCTGCAGTTTTGCAGCACTTATCCACCAGCCGCCACTGTGCCATAGCCAAAAATATACCAAAATATTTTAACCTCACAATTTATTTAATTTTGCTATCAATTTTGAAATTTTCCTTTAGCAATTTTAGCCATTTATCTTGTCTTCTTTTTCGTACATTTACTTAGTTACTCCTTCTCCCTTGAGGGTTTATCCTTGTATCTTTTAAATTCTACTCTCAAAATCGGTGTAGCATACAGGATTATGGACTATAATACTCCCTTTCTTATATTTACTTGGTCCTCCAATAATGGCCAGGAGTTTAGTGTGAGCTTTTATTTGCCTTTCTGATTTCTCGGTTGCCTTTTTAATATTGTCGCTAAAGCACATTTTATCATCTACCCAGACTCAAAGGTATTTGACCTCCTTAGATGGAATAATTGTTTACTCTTCCGTCTGCTACTGTGCCATAGCCAAAAATATACCAAAATATTTTTACCTCATAATTTATTTAATTTTGCTATCAATTTTGAAATTTTCCTTCAGCAATTTTAGCGATTTATCTTGTCTTCTTTTTCGTACATTTACTTAGTAACTCCCTCTCCCTTGAGGGTTTATCGATAGCATAAATACCATTGTAATATATTTTTTGATATGTAATACTACTAACTTTCATACATAATATATTAAAACCATTGTTTTCTTCTCTTTGGATGGCCACATTTGAAGAGTTGGATACTCTTCTTCAATTATTTTTTTATGTTTTCAAGACGATATCCTTGTATCTTTTAAATTCTACTCTCCAAATCGGTGTATACATATATGGACTATAATACGCCCTTTCTTATATTTACTTGGTCCTCCAATAATGGCCAGGATTTTAGTGAGAGCTCTTATTTGCCTTTCTGATTTCTCGGTTATCTTTTTAATATGGTCGCTAAAGCACATTTTATCATCTACCCAGACTCAAAGGTATTTGACCTCCTTAGATGGAATAATTGTTGACTTCCGTCTGCATTTGATTACAACTGCGTCTATCTTTTCTGGAGCTATGGTAAGTTCATTTTTCTTTACCTAACAGTATGTTTTCAAAAGCAATATTGCCGTTGTACGCGAAATTGCCTTTTGCAATAGCCTTTACTAATATAACTAGACATTCGACTGTATAACAGTTAGTTTTAAGATCTATCTTTAGGATTCCATTATATAGTTGGTATATTCCACAGGGTTGGTCCAAGAACCGAACCCTGCAGAATGCCCTGCGTTATGACGCAACTTTTTGTGTGGTATAGCAAATAGAAATTATTTATTTGATATTTTTCGTATCACCTTATTGTACAGTAAAATCTGGCGCATTGCAGCGTTTATGAATAATCTTTCTTTTTAAGAAATATATTTTTTTAATTTCGAATGTCTTGGATTATTTATTCTATGTCAAAATGGTGTGTTTAATTTTTTTAGCCTTTCAATAACTATTTTATAGCCTTGGCCCCAGATGTCTCCCTCCAAAGACACATAGGGTTTTTTCAATTGACTAGTCTTCGCATTTCTTATTTCCCTATTAAATTGTGTCCTCGTTTGTTGAATCGGATTTTCCTGTATACTGGCCCTTGCTCTCGTTAGTCTCCCTCTGATAATATCACATTCCTTCTATTTAGCGCTTATAGTTTCATTCCACCAGATCGGTTGCGCTTATGTTTTTCTTGTTGGTAGTCTTAAAATACCTTTTCTTTGTGTGTGTTTTTTTACAGTTTTGACTAGTAACAGTTTCTTCCTGACCGTGATTCATTTCTATTGCTATTTGAACATTTTTGATCCAGAAATCCTTTACATTGCAACGTACCTATTGTGTTTATTTTAGTTAAAATTACTTTATTAAACATTAAATATATTCTATGCAAGACGCACTGTATACAGTAGCGAATTCCGAAAGAATAAAGCATGAATTAGTTATCTTATTCCGTAAGTCCGAACTCCAGGAATCTTGTCGACTATAACTAGATGATGATGGCGAGACATCGGTGACAAGCATAGGCGCCACTTGAGAAAAACTTTGTTAATTTTGCTATTGCATTGCGGTGAAAAACAATAATACTCGTATTTGCTATATTTGAAAAATATAGTAAAATTACTCATGAAAGAGAAAATATTTTAAATTGTTACTTCTTAATATTAATCTAGATAGAAAAAATCCATTCATTTTTTAAAACAATTTAATAATTAAATGTAATATTATCCATAATTATAAATGCACGTTCGACTAGTTTTGGCTTAATGAAGCTATCTTCAGGTAAGAAAAAAATGTAGAAAAAAGAAGGCAGCAACCTCATTTTGCAGTGCGAGATTATTTGAAGAAAAATTGTGGCATGAGATTAAGATAACTATGAGATACGCCACCTGGATGATATTTGTAAAACGTATCTATAAATACGACTTTTTTAGTATTCCAGCAGTACCCAAATTCCACTACGTCAGCGGATTTTTAGTCCTTTAGGATGTGGAAAGACATTTTTTTTAATTATCAAAATTTGTGTTAAGGGGTGGGTAATCACTCGTAGAGGGCAATCGTATGCATCTATCTTCACGTCCAGGCAATAGTTGAATATCGCCGCTAATCGGCTAGATACATGGTACATACCAATATCTACAACTCTGCTGCCGTTCGTTTCTTTCAGTTCCACGCTTGTGTTTGTTGGTGACAGACAATATTCATGATTCGACATTTTTCTTATACCATTCGTGTGTGACTAAAGTAAAGGTAAGTTATGCATTTCTATTTAAAAATCGCTCTAATTCTTACAGTAATATGACAAGCTTCTTGGGAAGTAAAGGACCTAAATATATCGTGGAAATATCGACCTGTATTTGTTTGAATAGTTCATAAGCCTGATAACGTCAAATGGGGTAATGATACGCTGTTGCGTACCATTACCCTTAATCCCCGTACCATTATCCGTATTACCGAGATTGAATTAATACTTGTGTTTTTTAGAATGTTATTTCAGATGCCTAACAAGAACGTGAGGTAAACCAATATCGCTGGTTGGACCAAGGAGACTTTACAGAAAGCTCTTAGGATAATAAATTCGAAAAGTTTCAAGTTCATTTGACATTGGATTGGTTGAAATTATTCCTCAGAAGAACCCCTCAAATCAGCATGAGAGAACCTAAAGGAACAAGTGTCAATAGAATAACAGTCTACAATAAAGAATTTTTTGTCTTGGCAGTTCTATAAGAAAAATATAAATTTGTACCAAGCAGAATGTTTAATATTGACGAGACAAGGACCTCAACTGTACAGAAGCCTACTAACCAACTGGGACCAAAAGGCGTTAAACAGTTTAGATCAAAAATATCTTGGGAACGTGGAAAGAACGAGTACTTGTGAGAGCTTTATCTCACCGCTCCTTATATTTCCTAGGAAACGGATGTCTTTTACTTTGACAAAAAATGTACCAGTCGAGAGAATTTATGTAGTTACCGTTAATGGCTGGAGTGACGAAAAGTGTTTTCTTCAGTGGTTACATTTTAAATTGATTGTAAATTCAAGTCAAGCAAATCCTGTTTTGTTGTTGCTTGATAATCATTATAGCTATATATCTCTTCTGATTTAACTTTGGCAAAGAGAACGGAATCGTAATGTTGTCAATACCTCTACATACGTCCCACCGCTTGCAGCCTCTCCATACTTCATTTTTTTGATTATTTAAATGCACTTTCAATAAGTAGTACGATAATTTTTTAAAAATCTGGCAAACAAGAGAAAATAACTTTCTCAGATTTGGCTGAAATATTCAATAATGCTTACGTTTAGACTATGGAAAAGGCTATTTTAGGTTTTCACTCATCTGGAATCAACCCTTTTAATCCAGATAATTTACAAAGGAGGATTTTGAAGTTGCCAGCCAATATACAGAGTGGCCCAAAGGTCAGGAAACGGCCAATTATCTCGTAAATTGCTAGTCCTAATTGTAGAAAATTTGGGGTACACCTATTTTGGGATACGGTGATTCAAGATTTAATATTTGCAATGTTGCCAGATTTGCCGTTTCTCTTAAATTATTAGTCACTTTGGTTTTTCAAATTCATCACCCTGTATATTCAGTCATTATTGGAATCTCCTATTCAATAAGAGTTGAACCATATGATTTTATGTAGTCTGGAAGGTCTTGAATAAATAAAATAAGTCTGGCAACGCCTAATTGTCTCAATAAATTTATTAATACAAACTATTTTCAACTACATTAAAACGTAACAATTAAAGGATTTTAACATTTTTAACATAATGGTTACTTTATCAAGTGTTCAAAATGTGCTCCATTTGTGAGTTGCTCAGTACCCTAATCGATGGTAGAATGCGTCTGCCATATTTCTCCATGATGGTTTTATTTATTTAAGACCTTCCAGAATACATAAAATCATAAGTGTTACATATAATTTAACTCGTATTGAATAGTAGATTCCAATAATGACTAAATATACAGGGTGATGAATTTGAAAAACAAAAGTGACTAATAATATAAGGGGAACGGCAAAATTGGCAACATTGCAAATATTAAATCTGGAATCTAAGTATCCCAAAATAGGTGTACCTCAAATTTTTTACAATTAGGATTAGCGGTTTACGAGATAATTGGCCGTTTCCAGACTTTTGGGCCACTCCGTATGCCTACTGTATCTGATGATTTGGACACTACAAATTATTTTGATCCCGGCCCGTCAACTTTACACATTCCAACCATAACTCAATCATGTCTTAAAGTTAAATTAAAGCCAACAAATTCTTTACCAATAGAAAAAGTTAGCATTACAAAACTGTCGCTATTGTTGTCATACTCTGGCAAAGGTAAAACTTACAAACGTACCAAGGGAAAGTCAGAGATATTAACGGCTACACCAATGAAATTAGTTCGAGGAAAAACAACAAAGAAAACTAACAGAAGTTCTGCTCGAGAAAGAGGGAATAAAAATAATAAAGTATTGCGCAAAAAAACAAAAACAAAAGAAATATGAAATTAGACTCTAATACTTCCGAAGATGATAAAATTGACGAGAAAGAACTTGTTAATGATGATGAACTGGATGACATTATCGACTATGTGGATTCAATCGAAAAGGAGCAATGCTTGTTGTGCGGAGAATTCAGAAAAGACGGAGAAATTTGGTATAAATGTGTTCGTTATGGGAAGTGGATACATGCCGAATGTAGTGAGGGGAACTCTGCCATTGACCTATGAATGCGATTTTTGCTGTCAAAAATCTTCTGCGAAAAGGGACCTTGTTGCGAAATTTTTTGTTTCTGTACACAACATAATATAACATAGGGTAGATTTTACCAATAAATATCAAAATATATTGTTTAAAGTTGCAATATATCCCCACAAACTAGTACAGTATAAAATAAGGCAATGATGAATACTCTGCATTTGTCCTCTTGCAAGATTTAGCTGTAAAACTGCAACAAACTTGCGTCGTGAATAGCGGACAAAATAATCGATCAATACTTTGGGTCGCCTTTACATAAATATACCTAGTTGTATAATTTGCGTCAAATCCCGGTTTTAAAAAACATCCCAATGTTATATCTTAGTCAGCATTTCTGACTTTCAAAACAGTGGAAAAAATTACCTTATATTCCAGCTTGATTGAAAAAGTTTTTTTATTGTATAACATACTTATAACTATTTTTCTGCTAAATACCTATCTATCATGTATAGCTGGATGGAAAATTCAAATTATCTTAACTAATGAAAAAGCAGAGCATAGTGCGAAACGTGTACCTACACACTGAGTAAAGTTAAAAGTAAATACTTGCTAATTAAACTATAGAGCAATTGTTTGTTAATCTGTCAAGTAAACTTACATGTAACTTTAGTCAGAGGTGACTCTTAAGTGTAATTAATTTATTAGACTAGAATTAGATTGTCCATTGATCGTTTCTAATGATCACGTTGTAATAAGTAAAATTAAAAAAAAATGTAATGTTTTACCAAAATTAAATGTTTTCTTTATTATTTGGCTTAAAGATTCCGTTTTATTTTATTATAAAAGATTCCTTTTATTATTGTTCGCACGCCATTGGTATGACATGTGCGGTAGGTGACATCTGCCGGGCACCGGCGGCGTTCTGCCACCGTGTTGGTCGCTTGTCTTTCATGGTAATGACGGGTATTCTTCATTTCTTCGACTTCTTCGGATTTTTATTTTTACCATCGATTCTTCAATTGCGAACGAAGCGCCAATTTCCATAATATTATTCTTTGGATTGCTTGTTTACGTACTAGAGATATTTCATAAAGGTGCCGGCTGAAATTTATGTGAGAAGTTATTTCTTCAGATTCTTGTTTTTCATTTTACGTTCGACGGTTAGATACTTCTAAATTTTTCAGAAAAACATAAAACCGAATTATTATTAGAAAGTTAGATTAACTCATTAACTCAATCTAAGTGAAAGCAATTCAATTTATTATATGTTAGAGTAATGTACAAAATGGTAATATAAAATTTTAAAAAGTCATCGAATATCTAATACCGCCAGGTATTAATTATTTGATACATCATAAAGTTTTTCAAAAAATTTGTAATAAAAAGATTGAAACCCATCATAGACAAAAATATAAAATGAAAAAAGAGCACTTCGCTCTTTCTAGACGTACCTCAGGCTTTCGATATAGTATGGTTATAATATAAAATAAATAAACTTTTACCTAAGCAATACTGTCAAGAAGAACTTTTTGCGCCTAAAGAAATTATAGGAGCGCTTATGTTCCAAGTGATTTATGAAATACATGATATTTTGTGAGGATTTTACACGCTGAAAATAATAAAAAGAAAATTGTTTATTGCTAAGTAAACAAAAAATACTGTCGTATATAATTTTAAATAAGTTTTATCTATTTTAATGGATTAATTATTTTCTAATTTATTATTATTTATTACTATTAAAATTTTATCATTTTTTCAAAAACCGTTCGTTCAATTATTGATGATTCTCATTTTTTTAAGGACGACAAATAATACGAAGGGAAAGATTATCGAATATGCATAGTATTGCCTAACCCTTTAATATTGGTATTTTCCTTTTCATTTTACTAACATTACCATTACATTGCGTGTTTCCATTGTTCTAAATATTTAAGATTCTAAAAAACATTTATGATTACTAAATAAGAGTACAACAAAAAATAATAGTTATTCTTCATCTAACATGAAAATATTTTAAAGAAAAAAATATTTTTTAAAACTCTGTAGGATTTCATAAAAATGAATCAAATTATTCAGCTGTTATTCGAATGATTAGTCGTTTTTCATCTTTGCATTCATCTTGACATAAAATTATAAAATAACCCACATAAAAACAAATTCTGATGTAGATACATTTTGGGCTATTATAAAAATGTTCAGTTTATTCTTGAAAAACCGATAGAAGATGAAAAGGTCTTCATTATTAATTCATTTTAAGAATTATTAGTCACATCTTTACGAGAACCAGGATTCGAATAAGAGGTTTACCTATAACAATAAAAATAGAAATGTTAAGGTCGTTTGCGGTAACAAAAGTAATTTGAAACTGACTTGTTTTTTTTTATATATTGTATGGGTTAAGTTACCGTCGTTATTGAGACGTACTATTTGTTGGATTTGATACCTTTGGGAAAATTAGTTGATTTAACAATTAATATTGTATTTACACAATAAACAATTGATATTGTAGGTGGTACGATAGTATTAATGGTTTAATTATTCTTAGGAAATTAGATATACTTTAATACATTAGGTATTAAACCATGACCTATTAAATATGGTTTTGAATATATATACGAGTATAATAACATTATTTTTTTTATTTTTTCTACGGCTATACCTGATATAAAATTACACTTTCTCAACAATTGTTAATTATTTGCTATCTTTACAATGGGCAAATGGTCAATATAACAATAACTAAACATGTTGGAAAATTGTTCAGTGACGATTTCCTTTCACTTAAAAATTAATATAGTTTGATTTAGGGAAAACTACATAACACATAAACATGATACTAAAATTTATCAGGCCTAATTGTTTTTTTAGTAAGTATGTGTATTTTTCATATACCTATACCGTCGCTCTAGGTTTTTTGCTGCAGGAGATGCCCATTTAACGCCACAGATGAGCAGATGCTTGGGATGTAGCTAAATTGAATTGATTTTGTTTCATTTACTTTAATTTGCCAAGTTTTTAACCATAAGGAAATAGCTTCTACGTTGGTCTATAAAATTTGAGAAGCTATAATAGGGTCTAAATGAGATGCAGGGCCGGCCCTAGACATTTTGGCGCTCCGGGCAAAAACTTAATTTTGCGCCCCGTTCCCCCGTTTTTTTAAGTAAATCCCATGCGACCATATCAGAAAGTCAAGAAAACATTGAAAAAAAAAAATAAAAAAAAATGTTTTATTAAAAACTCAATCATCAGATAACAAAATAAGCAATTTAGCACTTAAGGCAAAATAACAAAAATTAAAATGTTGAAATGCTAACTAAACTAATATCCCATATTATAAAGAAATTCTAACTAATCAAAGTAATTAAAAAGCCCTTTTTCTAACTTTTCTTTCGGCAAACTGACGAACCAGTGATTTCAAGTCTAATTTGTTACTAATATGGTGTTCTATAGCTATCATTGCCAATCCATTGAGAAGAGATTTTGCGTCTGCATCGTTCTGAGATAATTTTTCATTATTTTTAGTTTTGAAAAGCTTCTTTCCCCTGAAGCCACAGTGACTGGCAATGTAAGTAGGATTCTTAATGCTATGCTGAGGTTTGGTGCGAATTTAAGTGTAGCGATAAATTTGAAAACTTCAACAGGGGTTTCCTTTTTTGTTATTAATGACGAAACAATGCTTATTTCATCGGCTAGTTCCAGGGCGTTAAGATCGCTTGAATTTCCATCAGTTAAAACTACTTCCAAATTTTTGCAATGAGCCAGTAGCTCATTTCTGGGCATGTCTTTTATATCAAAAATATTATACAAAAAGCTGAAATAATTACTGTGAGTATTTAGCAAATTATATCTGGTTTCCAAGACATTTATTGCTTGATCTATAGTGTGAAAAAAAATCTTTTTTATATTTTTGTTTGAGGTCTTGGACGGGTTCATCCGGACCCTCATACAAAAATGTTCTTGTTTTGCTTCTGACACGATGACGTGGTGTGGTGGTTTCGAAATTAGCTTCCAGGTGAATCTCTGAAGCAAGCTCGGTTGTTTCTAAAATGATGCTTTTGTTCCAGATCACACCAGAGCATATAAATTTGAACTGCTTCAAATTATTTAATAATCCGCTAGCCTCGTCTCTGATCATATTATCTATTTCTGAATCTTCATATATGCTGTACAAAGCATCGTAAATTGGACCACTTTGAAACCGCAGAGCTTTAAATGAGTCGACTCGACTTTCCCATCGCGTATCACTCAATGGTTTTAGGGTGTAAGTATCAATATATTTCAGTAATATTGCCCAACGAAAAGAAGAGGAAGAAAAAATGTATATAGCTTTTGAACAACATTGAAGAAGTTGGCTGCCTCAAACGAGGATTTTGCCATATCGTTTACAACCAAATTTAGGGAATGGCAGCTGCATGGAACATAAAATGCTCTGGGGTTTATATTTCTGATTCTTGTTTGTACTCCCGATTTTTTTCCTCTCATATTGGAACCATTGTCATACCCTTGACCGCGCATGTTTTCTACTGTAAGCCTATTTTCTCTAGCTCTTCTAGTAAAACCTCCGACAATTTCTTAGCTGTTGATCTCTCAATGGGTAGAAAACCCAATAAATGTTCGTTGATATTAACTTGAAGTTCAGACTCTGATTCCTGTATGGAGACAAATCTTACCACAAATGTCGTCTGTTCTACTTTACTTGCATCGGAAGTACAGTCAAGAATCACGGAATAATACTTGGCCTTTTGAACTTGCTCAATGATGTGGTGCTTTATGTTATCATGCAATAATTCAATTATGTCATTTTGTATAGTTTTCTCTAGATATGTAGCTTTGATTTCTTCTTTATTGAGGACTCTGCGAACGTGTTTCTCCATGTTTGGATCAAACTCAGCCAATAACTGAATTAACTTCAAAAAGTTTCCATTATTGTGTTCATACAGTTTATCGCTTGTTCCTCGA